GGGAGTGAGGCTGAGCGCGGGATTGCTTGATTAGGGTTTGGGTTTGGGGCTTCCAATAATGTGTTTGGATCTGCGTAGGTCTCGACACACTTGTGCTGGTGGGTCGCCTGATAGACAACGCTGAACTGTAAAACCTGTGAGCATGACTCGAAAAAATAAACACCCCCTCCCCGCCAAAAGACAAAAAACTAAACAAATTCTCGGAAACCTCCACAAAAAATCTGAACCACCTGTCCAAGATAGGCAAGGGGCGGTGTCATATTCCCTTGTTGGTCTAAGGTCTCCAAACATCAGTTCAGTTCTTGTATGAAGTTCCTCAACCATTGTACCCTGTTCCTGAGTCAATGTTGCATCCGCCGCCCTCGCCTAGCCCCAAAACGACTTGTCAAGAACATTCGGAATATGCAAGAACCTAACCTTCCCTAAACCCTAAACCCTAAACCCTAAACCCTAGACCCTAGATAGACCCTAGACTTATGAAGCCCAACATTGCAGACACCCAGAATAGCAGAATGGGGGCAGCATCCAAAAAATGAGGGTAGAGGAATGGAGGCAAAGCCGCCTCCATTCCTGGCCTCAATCAAGAATGCTGGCGAAATCAAGGCGTTCTAGCTTCTCACTTTTTCTCGCAAGCGTCAGGTAGGTGTGGCACAAAAGCAAAATCACAGCTGACAGATGCTGAAAAGTCTAGTGAACAAGAACCTGGCACTTCTTTATCTGCGTCATTACTTTAAACCGGCGCAGCTGGACAATTACAGGGCACGCCAGTCTGAATGTCGAGATTCCAAACGGTTCGAGTTTGAAGTGCAGAAGGGTGCCGGGGTATGCCCGGTAGGGCCGGGTGGGGGGTCGCCCGCAGCATGAGGCTGGACTCCTGCCTCCATTCTGCCTCCATTCTGGAATGAGGTTCCTGGCAGCCCCCATTTTGCCTCCATTTTTCCTCCATTATTCTCCATTTTTCCTCCATTTTTGCAAGGAAAATGGAGGAAAAATGGAGGAAAAATGGAGGTAGCCGTTTGTCAGGAATGCCGGAAAAATGGAGGCTGGCCTGGGCCTCACCGCAGGAATGAAGGTAAAATGAGGGTTGGGATGCCGGGGCCAGGATAGATGCTCGTGTGGGTTGCATGGCCCTCCGCCCCCCCCACCCCTAAGTAGCAACAGGCGGATGGGGAAGGGGGTTGCATATTTCGGGGGCTGCGGCTATTTATGGCAGCAGGGGACTCGTCCATAAATTTCGGTGTCGGGGACTCTCGAAAAAATAGACGGGATTTTCCGAGCATGTAAGAAATGTGTGTATATCGTACACAAAAGTAGGAGCCATCATGCAGCCATTTATATACAGAATCCAGAAAATGGAGGAGAAATGGGTCTTCATTTTTCCCCCATTGTTGCGATGGAGAAGGTCAAGATCTGCATTTTGGACCTCCATTATTCCTCCATTAATGCATTTTCAGATATGTCTGCCCATTGCATAGCTGGACGTCCTAACCCTAGACCCTAAACCCTAACCCCCCCCCCCCCCCCCCCCCCCCCCCCCCTTCTTCCAACCCAACACAAGAACAGAATGAAGGCTTTGGGCTCTTGCAAGGGCCTTTGGGGTATTAAACCCCTAAACCCTAAACCCTAAACCCTAAACCCTAAACCCCCCCAAACCAGGCTCGCCAAGGGTCTGCACTTGAGCAGCCGTGTCAAAGTTGGATGAGGCCACCTGCGCTTTGTACGCTGGGTTTCGGGTTTAGGGTTTAGGTTTGTTTAGGGTTTAGGGTTTAGGTTTGTTTAGGGTTTAGGGTTTAGGGTTTAGGGTTTAGGGTTTAGGGTTTAGGGTTTAGGGTTTAGGGTTTAGGGTTTAGGGTTTAGGGTTTAGGGTTTAGGGTTTAGGGTTTAGGGTTTAGGCTTTCGGGTTGAGGGTTTCGACTCTCACACACACGCACAAGAAGGGCGAGGCCTCCAGGGCTGAGGGTTTAGGTTTGAGGGCTTTGACGCGCACAATCGCACGCTTAGGGTTTAGGGTCGAGGGTATAACTGGAACCGCCGGGTATCAACATTTGAAGTGTGATCTTTCGCGAATTGGTTTTCCCTGAGCACGACCTTGTGAGATGACATAGGTTCTGAGCGTGCACAGGGTGCTTCTCAACAGCTGTTTCCGGTGCCTGTACGTGGGGATCCTAATGGTCTTACCTAGCTCATGGTTTGGATAGTATTAAAAATTTTGAATTCGTATCCTTATTGGGTTTAAGTACCCTTAATAATGTAAGATGTTACCCAACTATGACAGAGTTACGTCTGGTTTCGCGCGAAAGGGGCTTTCCTAGTTTAGAACAACCCTAAACTCGGACACCCGAAACCTAAACCCTGGGAGCTGTAAGTTTGCACTACACAAAGGAACTGGAACACCCATGACTTCACGACGGCATACCAGCAAACCCCTAGAACACCACCAAAGACCCCCAAGCCCTGAAAAGCCTGAGAAACCACCCAAGAAGAACGCCGCAGTGAGGGGACAGGGGGAGGGCCTTGTAACCACTCCTCTCTAACCCCTAAACCCTAAACCCTACACCCTCAATCGCATAAGAGAGCTGGTCATGTGGGCTACGGAGCTGTGGGACTGGGCCATTGGCGATGCAGGAGCCCATGGTGATGTCGAAGAAAAGCTTCGCCCTGGTTGGCCGAAGCACTGAAGAGCTGCTTCGTCTGGAGGATATTTAAGTTGTAGGGTTTAGGGGTTTAGGTTGGGAGTTAGGGTTTAGGGTTTAGGGTTTAAGTTGTAGGCTTTAGGTTGGGCTGTTCCACGGTTATACGAACAGTCCTTCATAGGGACTATGGTGCCCCCGATTAGAATCCCTCTGAAGGGCTGTTAGTATAAGGGGTAACAGTCCCAAGGTTTAGGGTGTAAAGGTGTATTGTTTCGGCTTCTAAGAGCAAAGGGTTTTCAGAGGGTATGGGGCTGGTTGTGTAGAAGGGCCTGCCCAGGGCAAGACCTTCGTGCCTCCAACCGGACGTTTCATCTCGTCACTGAAGCATCAGGTTTAGGGTTTAGGGTTTAGGGTTTGGGGTTTGGGGTTTAGGGTTGAAACAACCAACCCTGTAGCCTAAGCTTGGTGACTCCTAATACCATAAACCCTATACCCAGACCCCTCCAGCCACCCAACCAGAGACCCAGCGTATCTCCAAAAACGAGAACTCCCTTGCACGTGGAACGCATTGCTGCAATTCATGAGAACTACATGACATCTGCAAAGTTCTAACGTCAACATAGTAGTTGAAGTTGCCCGCACCTGAGAGCAATTTTGACAGCGGTACAGTTGCTTCACAAACTGGGGGAGGTGCTGACCCTGATGGCAGTGCTGCTGTACTAGGCTGGCCCTCTAAGTCCACTGAAAATACTCCAACATGATACCCCTAAACGGAAACCCTGAGGGCCCCCGCCTTAAGCAAGAACACACACACAGAGTATATACATATATATATATGTATATACAAAGATATATAGATATATATATATATATATATATATATATATAATACAGATGTCGATGTAACCACGCTACTATGGCGAGGTTTTGATCCATGGTCCTTCCATGGTCCGCCAACAACGCATCTTTAATGCCAGGGTTTCGGGCCCGACGTGACTTGGGGGGGGTTTAGGGTTCAGGGTTGAGGGTTTAGGGTTAAGGGGTGACCACAGACCCGAAGCCCTCAACGCAAAACCCTAATGCAGCTGCGTTGCAGGGAAGTTAGCCCGTCAGCTACGAGTACTTCGACAAAGGGAATCTCCTTGACTCTTCAGGCTCCAGGGGACTTGCAAAGCTGTACTTAGGAGGTTTCCGAGATTTGGGATTCGTCTTCGGGGGGGTGCTGTTCAAAGGGGACACTCCTCTTGGGGTACTAATGGCTGCCCGGAATTGTGAAACTGACACATGGAGGCGTCTCTGGCGAATCTCGCTTTGAACGGCAACGCTTCCACGAAACCAACATGAAAACTGGAGCTTCTGCTTTATGCGAAGTGTGCGACAGTACGTACCTGGGGCGGTGCTGCAACACCAGACACACGTCACGCTCCTTCGATGTATCCGGCCAGGCGCAGCGCCAAAGGGCCTGCTTCTGCTACCCAGGTTTCGTGACTTTTGCACACCTTAGGTTGATAGGATCTCTAAGTAACCTGTGCTTCTCAGCACTTTGGGGCTTGTGCTTTTAGGGTTTAGGGCTTAATCGCTCACGCTCGGACAAGCCAGGCGAGGCACAGTGTGTCTCAGAGTCTCTGTGTAAAGCCCATTTTGACTTCGGTGCTACTCCGCTACTCATCTTGCCAACTCACATTGGGCGATACTCTCAGTTGCTCATGGATTGCAGGATGTATACTACGACGACGACAAACCTACCCTCCCTCGGTACACGTCGTCTTCGGCATACACTTTGGGCGGAGGAGGGAGTTTTCTGCTCAGGGTTTCGGGCAAGGGGTTCTACAAGTCGCCAAGCAAGTGAATCATGCAGTACCTGAAAGGGCGGTTGGGGTTTAGGGTCGCGGCCCGCGGTTTAGTTGTTGCTTGCCACCAGTCTGGCCGACTGGGTCGCACTGCAGGCTTGCACGCATGTTCAGAAAAAAACTTTACGGTCTACTGGGATGGCCCTTAAAACCCTCTCAAAAAGATTCCTGAATATGAGCCGGTTAAACCCTAAACCCTAAACCCTAAACCCCAATAAGGGAAAATACAAACTGTCCCCAGGGCCGACCGAGTTTAGGGTTCTTCCAATCTGGCTAACGGTTTTTCAGTGCCTAGGGTTCGGGTGCGATAGGTAACTCTAGTGCCGTTGAGAAAGCTTTCTGGTGATTAGTAAGGAACCCAGGATTGAAGCAATGGCACGGGCTCACAGTTTCGATTGTTCTACCATTGACAGCTACTCCTTCTTTCCTAAACATGAAAGACCCCAATATACACCCCAAACAGTAGCATTCACTCATATTAAGGACCCCAACAGGGCACCCCTAGTCTCGGAAACCATCACATAAGCAACAGGAAGAAAGCCGGCAGGGCCTGAACGAACGGCTCTCGCCAGCGGCTGTGCTTTGCCATCGACCTGCGTTGCGCTGGAACCGCCCTGTCGCTTGTTAGCCTATAGGCCCCACAACCTACCATGCGAGCCTAAGAATCCCAAACGGCCTTTATAGGGTTTAGGGTTTAGGGTTTAGGGTTTAGGGTTTAGGGTGGGACCAAGCCGGCCTTTTTAAAAGGCCAAGCCTCACCCTACCACAACAGGGCTGAGGGTTAACGGCCTCCCCTACCCCAAAGCCCAGAATACGGAGGTTTACGAAAACAAGGGGCCCCGAATATGGCCTCCCAAAGAATAGGATTCCTAAGGAATTAGGACCCCAACTTAAGGTACTCCCCCCCCCCCCTCCCCCCAAATTTAGGAAACCCCCTATACCGATGACTGGCGGCCTAGGCAGCATACCCCACACCGCCAGCAGCGCCGCGCCGTAGCAAACCAGCACAAACACGATGAGCCTGGGGGAGGGTTCCATGGTCCCTCACCCCAGGTTGGAATGATTCTATAGTGGGTGTGGCGTAGGGTTTTCAGGTTTAGTAAAAGGGTTCAGGGTTTTGGGGTGTATAGCTCTCCTCAAGGCTTTTGAGGGTTAAGACGTGCTGGCGGTGTTTTTGTAAGGTGTGGGCTGTAGGGGTTTGAGGTTAGGGGTTTTTACGGTTGAGAGTTTTGGTGTTTGGGGTTGCGTCAGCTGTTCGGGGTTTGCAGAGAGGTTAAGGGTCACTATTTGCTTTTTTTGCGGATGGGAAGGGGGTTGGGCCCGATCCGCACGGGGGGTGTGGAGCAAAGGGGGGAGGTCACCATCGAGATCCTATCAACTAGGGTTTAGGGTTTAGGGTTTAGGGTTTCGGGTTTAGGGTTTAGGGACCCCACAACCCGAAAGCCTTATAGGTCCTAGCAGCCCAAAACTCGCCAACTCCTGAGCCCTCTCCGGCCCAAAACCCTACCAGCCCCGGAAAAAACAAAACCCTTGAACCCCAAACCCTACATAAACCGTGCAAAGCCCTAAACCCTACACACCATCAACAAGAAACCTAAACCCTGTTGAGACCCTACAAACCCTATAGACCCCAGGCCCATCAAACCCAAAACTCAAGGGACTTTCCCTTGAGTTTGGGGACCTGTTTTAAAGATTCTTGAGGTCATCTACAGGCCATGTTTGGAGCATTTTAAGCGAACCCTTTAGGGGGCCCGAAGCCTCACAAAGCCAGGGCCCTAAACCCCGCAAGCCCGGAGAACCAATGACCGGGTCTCCCACTCCGGTGACGCACCATGAAGAAAAGCAGCTGCACGCGCCTGGTGGGACGGGAGTGTGCCTTCCTCCCCTGAAGCTGGGGTGTGGGGGTGTTGTAGCAACATGGAGCCTTAAACCCCTAGAATCCTAGAAGGATCTATGAAGGGTGTCGTATTATTTCGCCTCGTTTTTGGGCCCGTCTCTCTTTGCTGCGAACCCCAAACCTACTGGTTTGTACGGTGGAACTTTGTGTTAAGAAATTTTATGAAGCAAGAAATTAGACTCTCGAATTGAGAAAAAAATTATATTCAGAGTCTGAATCGCAACCCAAACGTAATTACAAATTGAATGGCCTTTTTGCAAGGCTCCAGCCCTCCAGCCCTCCAGCCCTCCAGCCCTCCAGCCCTCCACCAGCCCTCCAGGATTAAGCCCTCCAGGATTAAGCCCTCTCCAGGATTAAGCCCTCCAGGATTAAGCCCTCCAGCCCTCCAGCCCTCCAGCCCTCCAGCCCTCCAGCCCTCCAGCCCTCCAGTTAAGCCCTCCAGCCCTCCAGCCCTCCAGCCCTCCAGCCCTCCAGCCCCTGTCCTGGACCTGTCAATCTGAATCCTTTCTTGCTCAAATCTTTGGGGCTGGAGGGCTGGAGGGCTGGAGGGCTGGAGGGCTGGAGGGCTGGAGGGCGGAGAAAGCAAAGGGTTGGTCAGGTTGAATAAGAAATGTTTTCAAGACTCTCGCCTCAAATCTACCTTTCTTAATACATCTGCCTGGTTAAGAAATGTCCCAGACTCTGGTGGACCTTCGAACCTTTCTTATCATAAGTTTTGACCGTAGGTTCTTCAAAAAGACGGTGTTCTAGGGCATAGTAGTTCTCATTCGGGCTTGTTCAGGCTTTATATAGGGCTTGTGAGGGTTTAGAGGGTTGTAGAGGGCTGTAGAGCCGGCTTATGCGCTCTCCAGGGCTTATTTTTTCCGGGGGTTTGGGGGTTTGTGGGTTGCGGCTCGCACTCTCTCTCTCTCTCTCGGATGGTGCTTGCGTGCGGCATGTCTTGCCAGACTGCCACAAGCAACAAAGGACGAATCCGGACGTAGATGTGGAAAGCGCCGAAACGCCCAAACCCTAAGGTCCAACCCCCCCCCCCCCTCCCCCCCCCCTCCCCCCGCCGCGGAACCCTCAACTCGAATTTCCCCAACCGCTTCTCACCAGCACGGGCTATTAGGCCTTACAATCCCCTAACCAACCCTACTAAGGGCCGTTTTAAGGGGTTATAGGGCATAATAGCCCATGTAGGCAAGGCACCATGCTCAGCACGACCGTGATCAGCAGGGCGAAGACGACAAGTAGCCGAGGACTGACCAGCCTAGGCCATTCCCCTCCCCCCCCCAACGCCACCCCTGGTAAAGCTGCTCCTACAAAGGGGAGCAACAAAAAACACTAAATCAAACAAAAATGAACCCTGAACCCTAAACCCTAAACCCTAAACCCCTAAACCCCTAAACCCCTAAACCCCTAAACCCCTAAACCCCTAAACCCCTAAACCCTAAACCCCTAAACCCTAAACCGGAAATCCTACAGAAGCCCACTTAACTTTGTCGACCTGAACTTGGGTGCGGTAGCTCCAGAGGTTCAGGGAACCCTAAACCCTGAACCCTAACCTCTCCTTCTCACTTGACCCGTGACCAAAACCCTCTCTCGCACTTTCAGTGGGTGATTTGCTCGGGGGCTCACCTGTCCGAAGCCCTCAATAAACCCTATAATCCCCCTAAACCCCAAACCCTGAACCCTAAACCCTGAAGCCTACACCCTGAACCTTACAAATCCCTTACACCCTGAACCCTAACGAAACCCGAAACCCTGAACCCTGAGACCCAAAGGGCCCCAGGCTCCCCCAAGAAAGTTTAATCGCTCAACAAAGTTTAGGGTCTAAGGTTTAGGGTTTAGGTTCTAGGAAGTGAGCTGTAGGGCAAAGGAAAGACTGACGCGTGCTTTGGCTTGTGCTGATCTCCTGCATATCTACAACTTACTAAGCACTGGTTGCGCAGAGGCATATGGCCGTTTCTTCTATTTGAGCACCTTTAACCATAAACAGAAGACCTCGACAGGCGACAGGGGGTGGGGGTAGAACAATCTTCCTGGACGAAGAATCGGATGCACATGGCGCCTTCCGAAAGTGACATGTGAACAAGAGTTGGTGATGGTGTTTAGGGGGTTCGTTGGGGATCACCTCCCCTTTCCACGATTTCTCTATCTACCGACAGTGTAACGTTCTGGAAGAAGCTCTTAGGGTAGTTGCACGGTCCCTTAATTATGGCCCCTTACCTTCTGCAAAAGGGTTCCGAATTATGGGCGCTTTGCTTTTACATCGTATATAAGGGGTCCCCATTTGAGGGCTCATATCCAGGGACCATGCAGCCACCCTAAGAGAAGCTAGCCGACAACCAGGCTAGGGCCTTTTCTTCTTTTTGTGATTTGATTTGTACATTATTGTTTTCTGAGTTTTTTTCCACGGTTTAGGGTTCAGGGTTTCGGGTTTAGGGGGTGGAGGGGGGTTTGGCACAAACGTCCAGAATGGTGTGGACCCTCTGAGACCTTACCAATCTGAACCCAAGACCCTACAAACCCTAAGCCCTAAACCCTCAGCTAGGAGACCCTCTTTTTGGGGTTCCTGTTTGACAGTTCAGAATACTTCGGCAGCATTTTTGGAGGGGGGATGCACTATTTTGGGAAAGAAGCCCTGAACGCTACCAGGATGGGCAATTAGGCCCTATAATCCCCATAGTCAACCCTATAATTAGGGCCATAAACCCTACACCACACACCCTAAACCCTAAGCTCGTCCTGGTAAGCCCGAAGAGTCCTAAACCCTCAGTTTGGCGTTGGCGTGTCTTAAATGAGTGCTGGATAAGGCTCTCTTCTTTCGACAGATGGAGAACTGAGGCGTAGTCCACTCCTGCAGTTTCGCAAAACCCTAGATCCTAAACCCATTAAAGCCCTATAAACCCTATATTAACCCTAAACCCTAAACCGGGGTGCAGTGTTTCGTAAGGCGTTGTAAGGCCGGGAGATGTGTTCTTCCTGATGCTTCAAGAATGTCCTTGCTCGTTCATAGTCGCAACTCTAGGGGTTGTGCCTTGGACCCTTAAGGTTGTACCCTTGGGTTTCGGGGGCCCTTTGTTGAAGGTCCATACGGTAGCATGAGGGCCGTCTAAAAAAATTGAGGGTTTATGTACCCATATTTTGTTTATATTTGGGCCCTAAAGTTAGTATATAGGAGCCCCTTTAAGGCCCAAGTATGTACTATATAGGTACATGGACCCTTAGGGTGGGGTTTAGAGGGTTTAGGGTGCGCAAGGCTAGATGCACGGAAAGCTTCTGTATCTGGCAAACAAGGTCACGTTTGCGGCCCAGCCCAGTAGGAAGAGTGCCACCATATAGCCAGGACGTATTACCTTGGCTTCGCTGTATCATTTGTAGATACAAGCTGCGCGCTGTGGCTTCCAACTTTACTTGTTACGCAGTGGGCCGATGAGACAGCCAATGGGGAGGCTGGGGAAGTCGAATCTTGTGCACAGGGCCCTAAACCCTAAGCCCTAGACCGAAGACCCTGCAATCCTGCAATCAAAAACCCTGAACCCTGAAGCCTGGAAGTGACGTTGCGGTCGAGGAGGGGCTATATTCCTACCATCCCAAGTCTCAGCTCTGGGTCGACTAAGAGTTATAAACCCTAAACCCTAAACCCTAAACCCTAAACCCTAAACCCTAAACCCTAAACCCTAATCCGAGGCGTATGAGATAGGCCAGGTTTCACGAGGAGAGAGCCTACTGCCCAAGAGGGCGCTCCCTCCCTCCCCTAAGCTTACCCTAAGGGTCCATGTACCCATATAGTATATCTTTGGGCCCTAAAGCTACTATGTCGGCACCCCTTTACGGCCCAAGTATGTACTGTATAGGTGCATGGACCCTGAGGGTTAAGGGATACCCAAAGGCTCCTATGTAGTACCTTTTTGGGGTAGTATACTAAAACCCCCTATGCCCTATTACTAAACCCTAAACCCTAAACCCTAAACCCTAAACCCTAAGCCCTAAACCCTAAACCCTAAACCCTACACCAAAAAGGAACTACATGTAGAGCCTTCAGATAAGCTTGGTATCCGGTATCCGGAAAGGACCAGTGGCAAACACTGCCATGTTGGATCTGTTACTTGCCCTTGGGACGTTAGAAAGTGGCTTGGGCAGCAATTTTCACTCCAACTGGAATATATATATATATATATATATGTATATGTATATATATATATATGTATATATATATATATATTTATGCTCACCCCCCCCCCCCCCCCCCAAATGGACCCACCGCGGGTGGCATCCGAGTCCTAGCCAGATCAAGGGAACAACAACAAAACAAGAAACTAACAAAAAAACAAAAAACAAAAAAACCAAAAAAACAAAAAAAAACCAAAAAAACCATCTTTTCCAAAACTATGGGGCTGGGGCCTCCAAAAGATGGTTTTTTTGGTTTTCTCGAGAAAAAGATGGTTTTTTTGGTTCGAAACCATCTTTTTCTCGAGAAAAAGATGGTTTTTGGAGGTCTTCTCTTGGGAAAACCATCTTTTTCTCGAGAAAAAGATGGTTTTGCCAGGAGAAGACCTCCAAAAACCATCTTTTTCTCGAGAAAAAGATGGTTTTCCCAGGAGAAGACCTCCAAAAACCATCTTTTTCTCGAGAGAAAGATGGTTTTGAACCAAAAAACCATCTTTTCTCGAGAAAACCAAAAAAACCAAAAAAACCAAAAAAAACATCTTTTGGAGGCCCCAGCCCCATAGTTTTGGAAAAGATGGTTTTTTTGGTTTTTTTGGCTTTTTTTGGTTTTCTCGAGAAAAAGATGGTTTTCTGGTTCGAAACCATCTTTTTCTCGAGAAAACGATGGTTTTTGGAGGTCTTCTCCTGGTAAAACCATCTTTTTCTCGAGAAAAAGATGGTTTCGAACCAAAAAACCATCTTTTTCTCGAGAAAACCAAAAAAACAAAAAAAAAACAAAAAAACCATCTTTTGGAGGCCCCAGCCCCATAGTTTTGGAAAAGATGGTTTCTTTTTGGTTTTTTTGGTTTTTTTTTGTTTTCTCGAGAAAAAGATGGTTCTTTGGTTCGAAACCATCTTTTTCTCGAGAAAAAGATGGTTTTCCCAGGAGAAGACCTCCAAAAACCATCTTTCTCTCGAGAAAAAGATGGTTTCGAACCAAAAAAACCATCTTTTTCTCGAGAAAACCAAAAAAAACCATCTTTTGGAGGCCCCAGCCCCATAGTTTTGGAAAAGATGTTTTTTTTGGTTTTTTTTGGTGTTTTTGTTTTTTTGTTTTCTCGAGAAAAAGATGGTTTTTTGGTTGGAAACCATCTTTTTCTCGAGAAAAAGATGGTTTTGAGCAACCATCCTTCGAAAAACAATCTTTTTCTCGAGAAAAGATGGTTTTACCAGGAGAAGACTTCTAATCCTTCAGGTATTGCCTAAACCTTTAATCCTAAACCTTTAACTTTAAACCCTGCAGGGTTAACCCCGTGAGAAATTTAGAGACAGACCCCGAAAAGACCCTAAACCTTCTTACAGGGTGTAATGGTTTAAAAACCGATGTATACCTGCAGGTGCTAGATCCATATAGGGTGCTAAGGTTCTGGCCCTGAAGGGTTTAGGGTTAAGGCTTAAATGCCCTCTAGGTTTAAATGCCTTAGCCTTAAACCCCAAACCTTCAAACCTTCATCCTATGGGGTTTGAAGGTCAAGGGTTTAGGCTTGATTGCCGAGGGCTTTAGGGTCCTGACCCTAGAGGGTTTAGGGTTAAGGAATAGATGCCTAAACCTTAAACCCTTAAGGTTTAAACTCTATGAGCTTAGGTTTAAATGTCTAAATCTTAAACCCTAAACCTTTAAACCTTCACACTACAAAGTTTAAGGGTGCTAAGGGTGACAAATTAATTGCATACTTAGGTTTAAATGCCAAAATCTTAAACCCCAAACCTTTAACCCTTAAACCCTATAGGGTTTAAAAGTTCAGGGTTATTGTTAATTGCCGTCTTAGGTTTAAATGTCTGAATCTTAAACCCTAAAACTTTAAACCTTCACCCTATAGGGTTTTAAAGGTTAAGGGTTTCGGTTTAATTGCAAGCTTAGATTTAAATGTCTAAGTAAAGAATCCTAAACCTCTAAATCTTATCCCTATAGGGTTTAAGGTTACGGGTTCAATATGAACAGTCGGGCATAGGTCTAAAAAGGCTTAGCGTTAATTGCCGGAATCGGTTTAAATGCCTGAATCTTAATCCCGAAACCTTTAAACCTTAGCCCAACAGGGTTTAAAGGTTAAGGGTTTAAAATTAATTGAAGTCTGAGATTTACATGCTTAAATCTTAAATCCTAAACCTTTAAAATCTTAACCCTACAGGGTTTAAAGGTTAAGGGCTTGGCTACAGGTTTAAATGGCTAAATCTTAAACCCTAAGCCTTTAAACCTTAGCCCTACAGGGTTTAAAGGTTAAGGGTTTAAAATTAGTTGCAGACTCAGGTTTAAATGCCTACATCTTAAACCTAAACCTGTAAAAATCTTAACCCTATAGAATTCAAAGGTTAAGGGCTTAGGGTTTAATTGCCGGCATGGGTTCAAATGCCTAAATCTTAAACCCTTAACCTTGAAACCTCAACCCTACAGGGTTTAAAGGTTAAGGGTTTTTTTGCAGGCTTAGGTTTAAATGCCTAAGTCTTAAATTATAAACAAATGCCAACAGAAAGAAACACCATCCGTGTGTGTGAGAGAGTGAATTAAGGAATACAGTCAAAAATCCGGTCACCGGAAAATCACCAGACAGCATAGGTTTTATCGGTATTTGCGGTACTTTTGCAAAGATTGCCACCCGCTGTGGGTCCATTGGGGGGGGCGGGGGGGTGACCATATTTATATACATATACATATGTATTGTCATCGGGCCATCTATGCTCAAGGCCTCTTTCGGGCTGTCAACCTCTGGAAAACCAAGCCCCAGACCCTACACCCTCGACCCCATACAAACTAAACCCTAAACCCTGAACCCTGAACCCTGAACCCTAAACCCTAAACCCTAAACCCTAAACCCTAAACCCTAAACCCTAAACCCTAAACCCTAAACCCCAGGGCCGACTTGAAGATCGGTCTCTCCGAGCAGGCCGTGTCCCCATCAAGTCTGAGCTGATCCGTGCGAGGGCCACTGGGCCGCAAGCATCCAGAAGATGGAGCATGGACATGCCAGGCGGCAAGCACTCCTCAGCACTTCAGAACCCTTCCAGCACGGGCTATTGGGCCTTATAATCCCCTAAGCAACCCCTATTAAGGGCCTTTTTTAAGGGGTTAGAGGGGTATAGTTGCCCATGCAGGTTTGGAGTTTGCACGTACGTCACCTTCTTGCACAGGTAAATCTACTTCAGGACCTGCAGTACCACCCTATAAACACGCATCCGAACGCTATACGGCTAATTATACATGCCAAACTCTGAATCGGATGCCGGAATGCCGCTGGCTCCAGGAAGGCTGCGAAGGAGAGGACGTCGGGATCAAGGAGGCTGCTCAGAAGCAGCTGTGACTGCGCCCACTGGAGGGCACGGCTGCAAGCCCCAACTGCCGCATTTCCAACGCCATATGTGAGGGCCATGCTGCCCAAGAGCTGCAGCGCGCTGCGCCAGAAAGAAGATCTCTCGCAGCAGCTGATGACTGCCAGGTTCACAACCTCGTCTGATTCGAGGCAGCCTGCTTGTTTTAGCAGGTTGCGGTGCAACCTCATGGCAGTATGCCAGCGCTGCCCCACTTCGCAGGCCGTCAGGGTCGTGGTCATAAAGACTACGTCTGGCTGAGGCCCCCCCGACAAGCACAACTCCTCCCACATCCACAAGCCGAAGGCCCAGGCGAGGCCTCTGCGGGTACAGGCGCTTGCTGCCGAGGAGAAGCTGATCTCGTCAAGCTGCAGCCGGCGCCGCCGCGCCAGTCGCAGGAGAAGCAAGGCCTGGCGCCAGCGGCCGCTGAGCTCGCAGGCGCTGACGGCCACGTTGTGGGCCCGGAGGTCCGGCGGAGGCTCCGGGGCGCCGGAGGTGGCGGAGGCGGCGCCGCGGGACCGGCGCCACATCTCGCGCAGCTCGGCGCAGCAGAGCTCCCAGCGGCTGCTGCGAGCCAGGGCCTTCAAGACAGCCCCGCGGCAGATCACCAACCTCCCGGCGCTCAGATCGCTCTTCCCTCCCAGCTTCTTGCAAGCCGTGTCTGCCTGGCGAAAGTGCAGCAACGACTCCACGGCCCAGTGCCAGCGCAAGGCAGCAGTGCAGCCAGAGATGATGCCACCCACCAGCGCGGCACTGACAGCTCCCGCAGCCACAGCTCCCGAACCTCGGCCGCCCAAGAGCCTCAAAGCCTCCACCCACCGGACGCCACGGGCAAATGCACAGGCCAGGCTCCCGAGGGTGACCACATCCGGCTCCAAGCCCTGCATGGCCATATCGCCCAGCACACCCAGGCCTTGTTGCCATCGGTCCCGGGAGTTTCGGGCATCTTGCTCGTTGAGTGCGTTCAGGGCCTCGTTCAGGGTGGTGGTGCTGGGTTCGGCGCGCCACCTGTGCATTTGTCGGAGGAGGCAGAATGCGCCCACCCAGCTGCTTCCCAAGCCACCTGAAACTCCGCATTGTGCAAGAAGCTAACCGGACTGTGAGCATATGTACACATTCTAATGTGCATATGACATGCGTTGTCTTGAAATGGTTGTACTTACTGAGACAAGCATGTTGCTGCTGCCTTCGCAGGGATCTAGCTAGCGAACTCCCAGAGAATCCACCCTCCACCCCATGAACCCTATAAACCCTAAAGATACACCCTCCAACCCTACAAGCCCTCTAAACCTTATGAACCCTGTTGAAGCCCTGCAAGTGCAAGCCCTCTAGACTCTAAACCATACGCACTCACATCAACCCCCTTTTTGCACAGGCTTGTCTCAGCGCAAGCCCCTAAACCCTAAACCCTAAACCCTAAACCCTAAACCCTAAACCCTAAACCCTAAACCCTAAACCCTAAACCCTAAACCCTAAACCCTAAACCCGGTCCCCAGAAAGCCAAGCCACAGGCGTGGATCGCTGCCCCACAGGTCACCGTATCGGGCTCGGGTCCCTGCATCTCCAGCACCCGCAAGAAGGCCACTGAGAGGGCCCAGGCTGTGTTCCTCCAGGGCAGACGAAACTCAAAGGCTTTGGCTCCGGAGCTTTGTGTGAGGGTCCGAATCAGATTAAAAATCGCATCTCGCAGACAAACGGATCCTAGGTTCTAGAACCCCTCATCCCCATCTGGAGACATCTAGCCGTTTGGTTTTACAAGCCTAGGGGCATCCAGGGGTCACAGGGCCGCTCTTGAGCCTTTAAGGAAACTTAATTTGAGAATTTCACATCTCTAGAAGAGACTTTGTTCAACGATCTCATTGCAGCGCCCAATCGAGTCACCTGTTCAAGCCAGAAGCACAGGGTTTTGGAGTTCGGACAGCAAGTGGATGGACCGCATGAACTGATTCCTGGTGGGCGTTCAGAATATCTGCTCCCTCACAGAACTGGACGCTTGTTTCCGCAGACTTCTGGCAAAGTTGTGCCCACTCTAGCTCTTGCATCCTGACTTGGTGCTACAAACACGTCAGGAGCTCCTACAGCGTCCTGGTCTACTCGTGTACATTCAAAACTTGATGGGAACCTTCGCTTCCATCACATTCCAAGCTTTTACAACTTGGAATGCGGATTCGGAATGCTTTTCAAGGTCTGCGACATGAACTCTGGCCCTGTGTTGGAACCACCGAACCTCGTGATATCGGACGAGAGTATCGCCTCATGGAAGATCGACTCAAAGGTTCAAGGCACAATATATACACATAAATGTATGTGTGTATTTATATGCGTGTGTATATATCTATATATCTATATACATATATGTATATATATATACATACCTTTTTGTTTGTGCGGGTTTTGGTGCTTGAAAAGAACAGAGGAAAGGCCATGAATGTCGAACATCCTTGACGAAATGCATGCCTGGACGCTGGATCAGTGAGAGTGTAGCAGCCGTCAACCAGGACTCCCTGCAGGTCCACTGCCATGAGTTTGCCAGCTGAGAATGCGTAAGCCCATGAGCAAAAATCCCCAAGAACGGGATCATAGACATTGGGAACCCAGGAAGCCTTGTTGTCGTTGTACTTCGTGAAAGTGTGGTGATCTGGCAAAATGTCTTCAACAATGTAGATTGCACCACCACTCTGCTTGTCCTCGATGACATCGGGCACGAGAAAGCGGATGGACTGTTGCGATTTACAGGCCTTGTTGAATTCTCCAGCGAGAAACTCGGCTACAAGTGCTTTCTCCACCTCAGCTTCGTAGTCGTCATAACGGCCGGGCCTTTCGAGGAATTGCTTGAAGACCATACGCTTCCAGCCCATACTCTTCTGGCTTCGACAAATGCCCCAAAAACACTTCCGACTGACACCTGCTTCAAAGGGCTCTGAATGAATAATGAACTCAACCTGCGAAGCACGGGCCTCTCGGCTGGAGGAAAAGCATTCTGCGACGTCGCTGGGAACTCCCCAAGAAAGACGACGTCCACAGTTGCTGTCCAAAGCTTCCAGAAGCTTCCAATCAGGGTCTCGTCGGTCAAGCACTATTTCCAGCTGTTTGCGAGGCAGCTTGTTGTCAGCCGAACTCGCAAGGACAATGGAGGTGCAGACGGACTCCACCACAGCACCCTGCACATCCGCCGGATTATCAATCGGTACCGTTTTAATGTACATCTCCTCCGATGGCGAAAGCTGCCTGCGCACGCAGGCTCCATCTACAGCATAGATTTTGGCAGAAAATGGATCCTTTCATTTAAGCCCTTTGGCCGCTGCCTGCACTCGTCATTGAACACCCTGACCATCTTATCAGTGTCTCCTGTGATGCGGCCGAAGTAGTAGTCGACCTGCGGTAAATTCCTACATTAGAGCCCTGTAAGCCCTGAAAACCTAAATCCCAACCTTAACATTTTGAACCCAAGCACCTGAACCCTCAACGCTGAAACCCTAACCACCAACCCTAGCAATTCTCCTGCACGCGGCACAGCACCCGATGAATGACAAACCGCAGAGTCCGAGCCTGGTGTCGTCTGAGCCGCAAAAGCTGTTCCGCTATGGAGATTCCAACGCCGTTCTTGTGTCTGTCCTGCCAGTTTCTCTTAGTTGTCCAGTACCAAGGGGGTTTTAAGGTTAACCTTTGGGATTTTATGGGGAATATACGAACCCAAAAAGGTTAAAGGTCACCTACTCTACTACTAAGTTCTTGCATGTTTACTTGCATCTGTCCAGGCATGTTCAGCTCTACCTGAAGGCTCTAATGTAGTTCCTTTTTGGTTTAGGGTTTAGGGTCTAGGGTTTAGTTACGTTATAGGGCATAGGGGATTTTAGTATACTACCCCAAAAAGGTACCACATAATTAGGAACCTTTGGGTAGCAAGTCCAAAGCTAGTCTTGGCAAGAGGCAGAAATGTTGGAGTCATGATACTTGACGCCATGGCAAGGCGCATCGGCAATGTGGAACAAGACGCGCACGTGCCTGGGCCGAGCAGCATGCACGCTTGTCTGCCAACATCTACCAATACAACAAGGGATGGATCTTCACTCAACGCATGTAGCGGGAGCAAACAAAGTAAGGTCGTGCACAAGAGTGAGCTTTCAAAGACTGCCGGCTTGTGCAAAGGTGCTTCTTCCATCCAAAGTCGGTTGCCATGCGAAGGGCGCCGGCCACATCTTCTGCTTGATCCCAGTTGTCTTGGCAACACGATATGTGGAAGAACAATGCGGGTGTCCGAGGCCGATTACGCATTGCAAGTGTGGAGTTGTAGTCTGTCGACACTTTCAACCTAGAGATGGGAACTTAAAGCTGTGGTGCATATAGCGCGGACCGTTGAGACAAAAGCCTCAAATGTCGCAATGTCTTCCGTGAAGCCCAGGACGGTGAACTGCTCCTCCTCCTTGTTGGTTATGTCACGGTAGCCAAGAAACCTTGGAAAATCCGTTGTTGTGAAACAACAAGCTAGTGAAACCTTCGCGGAGAGAACAAACAAATCATGGTCCAACATCTCGAACACTGCGTCGCAAGCCGGGCAAACCTGTTTCAAACCAATTCGAGGAAAGTCCAGCCAAGCCTGTTGTTGTTTTTTTTAGCGGCCATGTGTTCGGCAGGACCTATTTGTGGGAGTTGCCAAGTAAGAGGACCGGTGCTTGTGAGCAATTCGGGGTGTGGCTTAGAGCTTGTTAGCCTGACCGGTTGGGCCCGAAATGGACCCAAATGGCCTGTCTGCCGAGTCCGGACTTTAGGTAGCATCAAGCAGGAATCCCACCGGCTTTGCACCCCTTGTGCCCGAATGAGTAGCCGAGGGCTCCTGTTTTAAGAGTTGAGTTCCAGGGGTGCAGGAGTTTACCGTTCCCGTTTCAACAGTTAAGGATAAGGCAGGTGGGGTGCGCCACGCTCGAAACTGTCGTCGCTTTTGGACTTCGGTTTAGTGATTGGTTCCTACAGTGCTGACAGTCACAAGAAGGAGGATAGGTGAGTTGCGCCATCCTGTGAACTGTCGTCACTTTTGAAGCTTCGCCTGGGGTGCGCCAGCCTCGTAACAGCCGTCGCGTCTGAAGCTAAGGAGGATGGGACATGTGGGGCGCGCCGTGCTCGTAACTGTCGTCACTTTTGGAGCTTGGTTCTTATGTCGAGGCTTCAAATGTGAGGACATTCACGAGGATGAGACAAGTGAGATGTGCCATCCTCGTACCTGTCGCGGCTTTAGGAGTTTGGGGGAGGAGGGGGGGGGGATCAGATCAAATATTACCAATAGAACGGAAAGCAAAAAACAGTGAGCTGGAGAGAAAGAGAGAGAAAGACAAAGAGAATCCGAAAGAGCAAGAGAGAGAGAGAGAGAGAGAGTTACTTAAAGACATTCATAAATTACATTCCTTTGGATCTAGTGTCGCGCGTCGTGTCTATCTGTTTCGTTTGCCGCGTAGGTGATCCGTGTCGCACTGTCTCTGCATTCTCGGGGGCCCTATCAAGTTTGGTATACTCTTTTTTGCATGGAACGGGTACCTTACGTAGCCGACTGGCATCCAGGAGCGACGGTGCGTCATGACCAAGGGGAATAATTTGGGGCCGACCATAGGGGACGGCTACCAGCCCCAGTGAGGCGCGCAGTTTTGCTGAGGGAAAGGGGGCCACCAGGTATGAACTACATCTCTAAAACTAACCTTTGGAATCTCTACTAGAAAGGCCTGAACCTTGCATACACCCTAACCCCTGAAAACCTCAGCGCGCCGAGCAGGACCGAGGCGGGCGACGCATTTAATGTTAGAAGGGTTTTGTGGCGAAGCAGCTATATTCTGATCACGTGATATCGCGAACAATTTTTGAGACTTCGGCAAGAAGTCCTTCAACTTGCGCTGTTTTAGTGGGACAGTCAGATCGTGTTGATGTTAGCCATCAGATCAAAAAGATTTAGGGAGGGGGGTTAATTGTGTCCCAGAGGACATGGTATACTGCCAGCAGAAAACGACTGTTTGAGAGCTTCCAAGCAACCCGACCCGAAGCTTCAGCTGCGGGTATGCGCTCTTCAGTTTTGTAACCATGGAGCGAACGGTGCCCTTGACCTGGACAGCACTCACGAGGTCCCAAGGCAGATAGCGGCCACGAAGCGCACAAAAGGACATGCAGCATAATAACGACCCCTGGATGGAGTTTTCTGCAATATTAGAACAGATCCTTGAACCCTGAACCTAGGCCCTAACTAAGCCCTAAACCCTACACCCTGGTGATGCAGCGCTTTGGGCCCGAGCAATACTAAGCAGCTCGTGAGCAGGCAGACTCGACCCAAGTTATTGAAAACCCGACACCGAGCCTGATCAATGTAGGGAGTCATGGAACCAGTACCTTAGTGTCCAGACGCGGACTGACTGTTCATCTTGCTCGGCTTTATCACACAGGTACCCAGGAACGTCAAGTGCGAACTCCTAAACCCTTTTGCAGCAGGACTCCTCACCGCTGCCTGCTTCGCCCCTAAACCCTTTTTACAGCAGGCGCTCCTAAACCCAAAACCCTGAACCCGAAACCCTTTTGCAACAGGCTTGCCACCTCGCCCGGAGTTGGTGCCTTTCGATACCCTAACCCTAACCCTAAACCCTAAACCCTAGTAATCCGGGGGGGAGGCGCAGTCCACCATAAAGAGAAGGTCGACATCCTGGTGGCGCTTCACTTCCTTGCTGAGAGCATCGATCCTCCTTTCCATGATTTTTAAGAAAGGTCAGGGTTTAGGGTTTAGGGTTGGGGGTCAGGGTTTAGGTTCTAGGGCTGAACATGTGGCGGAGAAGGTTGAGTCTGAATAGTTGAGAAGGACTAGAAGTGGTGGAGGGGTCTCCTTGTTCAACACATGCGCTCGAACAATCCGGGAAAAAAAGGCCAATGCTTAAAGTCTGCTAAGATTTTGCGCCTGACCGTCTAAACTCAGCAGTTAAAGGCACACGACTGCCAAACCCACCAAGCTACATGTTCTTCACCAGCTGCTGAATGGTGGCTTCCTTACTCTCCACCTTCTCCTGTAGTTCTTCGATCCTGTTTGTAAGCGCCCCGTTGTTCGCTTTCTCAACTTGCAGCTGGCGTTTGAGGCCCGCATTATCCTGCTCGGACTTGCTGAATCTTGCTCGCTCATGCTCCTTCTCCTGCCACAGCCGTGAGTTGTCACTGGTGAGAAGCGCGTTCTTCTTCTGGGACTGATTGAATCGCGCTTGCCCATCGTCCTTCTCCTGCTGCAGCAGCTGCGAGTTTCGGCGTGTAAGCATCGCATTCATCGCGAAAGCACCGGCCATAGCCCCGGCCATGGCAGTCCCGAGCATTGCAATCCAGGATTTTCCGTTACCCTGTCGTCCAGGCGTCTCGGGCTCCGGTAGCCTAAGCACACAGGTTCACAAGACCAGAAGAATCAATCAATTTGAGACATCCGCACGAAGGCATGCAGTATGCCATTTCCGGAGCATGTGATGCTGCGGAGGCCTGCTTTCTAGATGAAGAACTTCCGCCGTTAACCTTGACCAACCTTGCAAGACCGCCCGAAGCTAGCAAGATAGATGATACAATGGCAAAGGGCAAGTTCGAATTCGTACTTGCCCGGGATACTTTAAGTAGCATCGGGCAGAACTGACTACAAGTAATTATTACCCATGCCCAACTCATACAGCACCAATCGACATCTCAGCGACGCGTTTGCAGGAACTGCAGGAGCGACCTGCGGCGAGTTTCTCAAAACCAGGGGTGCCTTCGGCTTGTTTGGGATGAAGGGACAGTGGGAATCGCTGCTTGATTGTTGAGGGTTCCGCGTCACCCTAACATAGCACATCATAACTTAACACCCTCTTGAACAGATCTGACAGGGAAAGATCCAGAACTTTCAGCAACTACCCAGCAAAAAATATTAATTTTTGCTGTTTCTTAGGAATTAGAGTACCCAAAGATTAAAAACAATTCCAAGTACCCCTAAGCTTGAGGAATGAGTCGGGAACATTTTGGCGAAGCCTGAGCCTGGTCTCTCGTCGTCGACACACGAGATACCGTAATCTGCACTGAAGCTGGCTCCGCTGGGAGAACCTGCATGCTCGAACAAACCCTAAACACTAAGCCCTAAGCCCTAAACACTAAACCCTAGCAGCTGAGTTTGGCTAAGTGTATCCGCAAAGCGCATTGAACAATGTGCATTTAGTGAAGTGCATTGGGAAGTGCATTGGGTAAACCGCATGGGACCAAAGTGTTTGGACAAGACATTGGCAGTGCATTTGTGACAAAAACCTTGAAGACAAAGAAATTTGTGGAAGTGAATCCGTAGGGGGTGGCTGAACGATTTTGTTCTAGCTAGGGGTCTTTCTAGCTTGGCCTGTTTAGGATGAACCTTGGGGACTACATGAGACCAAAAAAACTCAGGTCCATTTAGCTTGGATTCATCTCGCCCAAGGAAGCATGTGGAAACATGTCTGTAGGGCATTCGAAACCCTAGCAGAATTTTGACCATCAGCTCCTTACACGCAGTATCAGCAAAAGCACGAAAAAAAAAGGATCTGTAGATTACGGTTCCTGCATTCCCTTCGGCATCGTGGTTAGTGCACCCGCGTTAAGTCAAAGGATCATAGGCCCTCCAAAAGCAGAGACTAGAGAACGATAGAACCACAACATTCCCGTAGGGCACACCCCTAATGGCTATGAACCCCAAGCGCCCTAAACCCTAAACCCTGAACCCTGAATCCTGACCCCAAAAACCCTAAACCCCAACCCTCAACCGTATTCCGAGAAACCACGGCCTGAGTCACCCCCTTCCGGAGTTGAGGGATCGTGTTCGCGTTGGTGAGCACCACACCATCAAATGAGATGCTGAAATGATTGCCCTGCATCCACCTCATTCTCCGCAACTTACCGTTGCAATTGACGTGTTGTGGACCTATAATTCTGGCTGGACTACGTGCATTCATCGCAATGCATCTATACCTAAAAGAGCCAAAGCACTCACGAATCTGTTTCCAAAGCAGGCCATACGTCGGCAATGTCGCGTACGTTTTTTCTTGTGCCTTCGGTTCGCAGCAGAATTCCTAAAACGAACCCGCACAAGAATGGAAACAACTCACTCAGCGACGACTGTCACACATATTTGTTAAGTATGGCGGCCGTCCCATCTGGTAAGTCGAAAACAATGTGAATCTCCTGGGAGCCGTCAACCATTTGAAAGCTGTAATCCGTGTACCTGAGCTCTGATTCTCAGCTTCGCATACAGGGCTCCCCTGGGTTGAGTGTGAAGGAAGGGTTTCGCTCGCAGAACGAGACACCAAAACATCCGTCCTCGCAGAGCTAAGGAACACAACAACTGCAAATCCGGGCAGACTAGACATACATACGTATTATGCCCAATGCCAAAAGCAAATATAAAGATCATGCATCCTGCTCACATAGACCAGCAGTCTCAAGCCATGAAGGCCTTCGCCGGTGCCGTGCATGAGGGTTTAAAGATAATGCTAAGGCCAAAATCTCCAAGCTTCCTGAAGTATTGAGAACGCCCGCATGGGAAATGCTTGATATCTATAGGCCTCCAGATACTGCTGAGGTGCACGTCTGAACCTGCATCACTTCGGAGACTGCGATGCATCCCCGCAGGGGATGAATGTTCCACGGCACCTTTGTCGAGTCTCGCAAGTGGCAATGTGGGCATGAAAGCTAATTGAGAATTCCCTACTGTGTCGTACGCAGTTTGCAACAGAATAGTCCAGAGCCTTCTCTGACCTATATGAGCCTATAAGGCAGCCTATATGTATTCAATTCGTCAGATTCCAGTTGTTTGGTGCATCTTGTTCTTCGGCCCTGGGGCAACACCGCATTCTAACCTGCACCCCAGCAAAGTCTGGGATTCAATTGTGAACAAAAAAACACAAGATCAGCATCCTGGGCGGCCGCATCCTGTACCCCAGAACTGGAAACATACTGTTTCGGCCACGGAACTATCCCTCATGGTTCCCTGGCTGCCTTGGCTGTCCCTGCTAGATGACGCCATGCGCACGGCGGGCCTTGCGAAATTTCGGCCAGCAAGCTGGAACCAAAATTTCTGCGATGGGTATTCAAGTTTTACGCGCACCGTGAAGAATCGCATGCACATGCAGTCTGAAGTCAGGCCCGAGAGCTAGAAGCCTCAGATCCGCATCTTGACTACACAAAGATACATGTCAAACCCCTTGAACTCCAGCAACTCTTGCGAACCAAGCAAACCTGCATGCTCCCACGGAGTTAAGCCCTGTGCAGTCGAATTATATGAGTTATATGAGGGTTCTGTTGCCGCTTTGGGAGTCGGGTCCTGGAGTAGACCGTCAGTGCAGCGTTCATGGAGATCACGTTGGGGCGGGGGCCGGCGTGCAGCAATGCCCCGGCTAACTGCAGGACATCCTGCCACCGGCTGCGCCGACCCAGCTGCGTGATCGAAGCTGTGAGGGCTTTGCCAGACAGTTCCCCAGGAACGGGGCTTGGGGATCTTGGAACCTTAGTTGCTGAGTTCATAAGCCTCCCAAAAAAGTGTATACTTTCAGATTCTACAGGGGACTAGAGCATCCCTTAAACTGTGTAAAGTGTAGTCACTCAGCTGCTAAGGAACCATCGGATGAAACCCTAAACCCTAACCCTAAACCCTAAACCCATGTCTTTGGATGGACTTGGTAGCGGCCATCACTGCCGGGATGGTCGGCCACGTGCCCCAGTGTGAGCTGCTTCGGGCGCCCAGGCCTGGGAGCCTCTGAGCCTAAACTTCAAAACATACCTTAGCCTCCTCCTTATACCCTAAACACTAAGCCCGAAATACTCTAAGAAAGAGGCATCGGCCGTCAGCTCCATTTGCTGAGCCGGTCTCCGGCGGAAAAGGCCGCAAGGGAGCCATGGGCATGGCGCAGACTACTTACCCAAAGGATCCAACAAAACCTTTAAGTAGGTATCTATATAAAAAGAGGCCATGAAATACAAGTATCGCATACAGTCCTCACAGCAACTCCCTTAGACCACATGATAAGCAAGAAGGATCCCCAAGCTAGTTCAAGCCTTCATTCCTGAATTACAGTCTTTGGCGCTCCCTGCATGCTTAGCAAAGCCTACTGAGTCTAAGTGCTGCGACTGTACAAGAAATTCTGACGCCACAAAACTCCCACTTCAACCCCCACAGTGAAGCCGGCCCTAATCAAAGGGGAAGCAGAAGGAGGTGCCGACACTATGCCCTAAACCCTAAACCCTAAACCCTAAACCCTAAACCCTAAACCCTAAACCCTAAACCCTAAACCCTAAACCCTAAACCCTAAACCCTAAACCCCGCAAGTCCAGGGCTTGAGCCAGCGGTGTGAGTCTACCTACATCCCAGGGCAGCGCAGGGGAAAAAAGGCACCTAATTTTGTGGGTCCTATAGGGTTTAGGGTTTAGGGTTTAGGGTTTAGGGTTTAGGGTTTAGGGTTTAGGGTTTAGGGCAGGGTATAAGGCTATAGGAGCTCACGGGCAACATCGCTTCTTGCGGTGTCAGGCTGGCTCGGGCATTCAGTTTAGGGTTCAGGATTTAGGGTGTTTTTGGGCCTCTAGGTTTCTGGTTCAGGGTGTCAAGAATTCATACAGGGAGGTGATGGGAGGTGTCCCCTTACTGCACGGGGTTGAAGGTGATAAGGGACTTCGCCTGAGTCATGAGTCATGATACGACATGCCAAGCAGACTCGCAATCTTGGACGTTTGCAAATAGCAAAGCACTTCTTGAGGTCTTCCCCACGGCACGCGCTGAGCACACATGATCCAGGACTTTACCTTTTTCAGCATGTAAACCCTAAACTCTCAACCCTGAACCATTCAACCCTCAACCCTGAACCGCTTGGAAGGCCTAAACCCTAAACCCTAGACTCTGAAACTCCAAAAATCCCTAAACTCTCAACCCTGAGAACTATCAAGCCCATCTGTTCCAAGCCGCCGTCCATAGTGCCTGGATCGACTTCTCCCGGGCCTCTGAGCCATGTGCAAAACACGTCTTAGGCTAGCTACATGGTCCCTATATGGGCCCTTACAAGCGGATCCCTTATGCACCCCTTATATACCCCTAAGGGTCCATGTACCTAAATAAAATGAGGTGCATGGTGCATGGACATTTTGGGTACTTTACAGAACCCGAGGCCCACACAACTACCCGTAGAACATGGCAAGTTTCCGGCCGTTCGGTCCCTTTTGAGGTTCCCTTGTGAGGAGATTCTGCTAAATGCAATTTCTGGAGTCTGCTGTATGAACGCCTTAGCGTCTTCCCAAAACCCTAAACTAAAGCCTAAACCCTAAACCCATATGTATTATCTACATATATATATATATGTACCATGTATCTCTCAATCTATCTATGTATATATTATACAGGACGCTATTGGGAGCCCTCGTAGAGGACCTCATGGTCTCAGAACAACCGCGTGCTGTAGTGTTGCGAGAGGTTGTGTTTTCGTCGGGCCCTTTGCAGCGGCGCCGAATTTTCCCCAGTCAGGGTGCAGTTTAAGGTTTAGGGTTTAGTGTGCAGCTTCCACACGCACGCGCGCACACACACACACACACACACTCACACGGTGTACATGACCAGGCTGTGCATGCCGTACTCTTCAGCTTCAACCTCTGACCCTGCATGGGGCTGCAATTACCGAGAATCAAGGGACTCGACTGTATTTGGGGGGGAGTCGATCAGTGAAAAAGCGAAAGGGGGGGGGGGGTAACCATGGGGACCCTATTTGCAAGAATCAGGGCATACGTACTCTGGGTCCTAGCCCTAAAGCCTAAACTCTAAACCCTAAACCCCAAAAAGGGGAATAGGCACTGCTCCGGGTCCTAGTCCCTTGTGACGTCAGGGCACCACCACGTCATCGGAGAGGTGTGACACATTCCAAAGCAAGCTCCTTGGAGGGCTCGTTGATTCAGGGTTTAGGGTGTAGGGTTTAGGTCTTAGGGTTTAGGGTTTTGACAAGGGTTGAGGGCTTAGGGCTTAGGGTGTCACGTTTGGTGCTAGGGACTGTCGTGTCGCCCGCTTGCTGCTCAACGCAATACAGATCACTAATCCGGCACCCAACAAGTCAGCTACGCAATGAAGCACAGTACCCCTAGAATGGCAGGACAGCGAAGCGCACACTTCAGGAAGCAGGAAGAAGCAGCCTAGTCGCCTAGCCCTCGCAGCAAAACTCTGGTGAACAAGGGCTTAATCATATATAGGGGGCTTTAATGATTAGAACAGGGCTTTAAGGGTTACTATAGTATGTATATAGGGACCATAAGGGAATACCGGTAGTAATTTTTCCGACCCCTATACTAGGCTGGCCCTTAACACCCTCTGAAAAATGTTCCTGAATATGATCCTCTTACACCCAATAAGGAAAAATACAAAATGTCCCAAGGGCCTACCTAGTATACTATACAAGGTTCAGTCGCTCATGCTCGCACACGAATTGACGATCGGCTTTTTTGTTGGCCCAAAATACCCTCCGCTCCAAAGTTCCATGTCCTACTCCACACGAATCGCGCAATGTTGCTAGCCCCTCAGCGGGGTTTCCGATTGGCACTTGAGATTTTGTCAACAGCTCGTACCTTGCGCAGTGCGGTTTACAGGGCAAAGCCCGCCCATAGGTTCTTTCACTGATTGGGGGCCCGATCTACATGAGGAGCCTTCTTGGGTGGGCTCTATTGCGCCAGATTCCTCCGTCAGGGCGGGCCGAAAGGCTCCCACTTGTCGGAGACTCCTCCTGAAACCTCTGCATTGGAACTGACAGCTGAGCACTCCCTGAACCCCATAACCTAAACCCTAAACCCTAAACCCTAAACCCTAAACCCTAAACCCTAAACCCTAAACCCTAAACCCTAAACCCTAAACCCTAAACCCTAAACCCTATCCATTAAAAGACGATGCTAAGGCTCCCATTCATCGACCTGGGCAGTCCATCTTGCGCGGCAGCGCCATGCTTTGAGACTCAAGTACATGCATGCCGACACGGGCCGTGCGGATACGCCACCACGTCGATGTACTTAAAATGTTCGCGGACTTCATGCATCCTCTTTTCTGGTTATGGCATTTGCACGAGCCCCCCTGCTGAGATATGTAGGCTTTGGGGTAGGCTTGGGGGTACATGATGGGTTTGGGGATGAGGGGTTGGAGCTCAGGGCAACTTGAAGAGCGTAGGCTAAGGTAAGTAGGGCTGGGGGTTGCAGGCACCTACACCCATATCCCTCGTTGCATCAAGGCCAACAGCTGTGCGGCAGGTGATGTGAGAGAGTCTCGGGTTTTCGTGCTCCAAGGACCTTAATTATGGGCAACTTTCTAGAGTGCATTCCGTTTTGAGGTTCCTCTTGGAATGCTGAATGGGAGATTTCCCCCCCTTCAAGGGAACCACGCTGTAGAGAAGTGGGGAGTTCAACCTCAACCCTGAACCTTGTAAGCACTAAAGTGTACCTTATCCGCCTAGGCTTTGGGGTCGAGGGTTTAGGGTTTAGGGTCTAGGTTTAGGATTTAAGGTTTAGGGTTTAAGGTTTAGGGCCTACCGTGCACCTTGTTCCTGAAAATCTTTGGATGCACTTCAAGCCCTTTGCTAAGGTACAAGGCTACCCTAGGAAAAAAAAAGGGGATGAAAAGCGGGCTCCCATGGCCCATGGCTACCGAACCCAGAAAAACCCCGAAACCCTTTCAACCCTGAACCCTACCTGAAGGACCCCAAAACCGGCTTGTTTGTAGGTTCTGATTGTAAAACCTTTTATTGTAGGATTCTCAGGTGACCTATAAAAAGTTAGGATTTGGTTCTTGAGGTACACTCTACACTTGGCTGAGTGCAGAGAACCCAACCACTGTCGACATCTTGCGAGGGGCTGCCCTAGGAATCGGTACACATTGCGCATCGTCTTCTAGCCCCATCCCCGAAAAATAAGGCCCCCCATGCCCCCCCCCCACCCACATAGTGCATCTTTCCATGATCTTTTCCATGATACCGCAACTCTCTAGAATGAGGATAGTTGACGTTAGGAGGATGGGGGTTCATGACTCCCCTACTAGGTTGCCCAGTAACCTAGGATGAAAAAGGGTGCCCTTTTTTGCTTAAAGAGGTTTATAAGGCAACCTAAACCTAACAAAAAAGGGAATAAGGGTTCTACTGGGCATCCTAGCCTAAACCCAAACCCCAAACCACCAAGGCTCCCGCGAGATTTGCCAAGTTCAGAGGGCCTCGGAAGCATTTTTTTTGGTCTGGTGTAGCAGGGTTGGGGGTTGAGGTTTAGGGTTTTGGCCACCTGCCTAGCAGCCTCGCCAAGGGTTTAGGGTTCAGGAGGGGGTCTGGGGCCGATTGGGGGGGATTAGGGGACGTGAGGTTCCAGACTAGCTTCGCATCATGGCAAGTCGAGGTTCTCCATTCCCGATACCTAAACCCGAACACCTTCACCCTAAACCCTAAAAACCTGAAAGCCCGAACCCTAAGCCCTAAACGTCCCTTTCTCTTTTGGCTAAATGTATCAGCCAGGGCCAGTCTTGGAACACTTGAACAAAAAACACGTGCGCAGATGATGAACCACAATCAAGCCAATTAACGAAGTTCCTAACCGGCCCTACTGTAAACCGTTAGGGGTTTTGGGGTCCCCTGTCAAGGATCCCTAAGGGAACATCAGGGCCATATTAGGAGTATATTAAGGGGAACCTTTAGGGGTACAACCTTAGGGGATCTTAGGGTACGAGTCTGAACCCCTTGAAACCATAACCCGAAACCGCAGGCCTGCCCTAAGACTCAAACCCTAAACCCTAAACCCTAAACCCCTAAACCCTAAACCCTAAACATCATCTCTCTCAGACCAGACTGCCAGCCTCTGACCGT